GTAAGAAGCATTTCAAGGTCCTGGAGTGGCCTAGCCAGTCTCCAAATCTTAATCCCATAGAAAACCTTTGGAGGGAGTTGAAAGTCCGTGTTGTCCAGCAACAGCCCCAAAACATCACTGCTCTAGAGGAAATCTGCATGGAGGAATGGGCCAACATACCAGCAACAGTGTGTGCCAACCTTGTGAAAACTTACAGGAAATGTTTGACCTCAGTCATTGCCAACAAAGGATATATAACAAAGTATTGAGATGAACTTTTGATATTGACCAAATACTTATTTTCCACCATAATTTGCAGATAAATTCTTTCCAAATCAGCCAATGTGATTGTCTGGATTTGTTTTCTCATTTTGTCTCTCATAGTTGAGGTCTACCTATGATGCCAATTACAGGCCTCTCTCATCTTTTTAAGTGGGAGAACTTGCACAATTGGTGGCTGACTAAATACTTTTTTGCCCCACTGTATATATATTGCAGATGGACAGAGGGGGGCAGACTGACCAGGAAGGGGGCAATTTAAAAAAGATGGCGGAGTGAGTGATTGTGTGTGTGTTGGGTGGGGTAGGTTGGAGATTATGAGGATCTGTGCTGGGAGGGCACTTTGGGAGGGAAGGGGACCTATGCTAAAAGTGGGGGTTGGATTTGAAATCTTCCCCCCCCCTTCCCCACAAGAGCACAAGCCCTCTCCCTTCCCAAAATGCCCCCCCGCGCATATCTGACATATCTGACCCCCCCTTCCCTCCTGCGTCCCTACTAGCAGAAGTGGAGGGAGGGGGTCTGTACTGAGGGAAGAGGGGGTCTATACTGAGGGAAGGGGGGATCTGTACTTAGTGGAGGGGGGTTCTGTAATGAGGAAAGAGGGGTTTGTATTGAGAGAGGAGGGCTATATAAAGGCTGCATTCATCCTTGAGTGATTTGTAGTTGAAATACACTGAAACTTATAAAAACATTTGTTTTCTATGGTGCCTGTTCGCGCAATCAGGTGTGAACAGGCACCATGGAGAACAACAGATTTTTTAAGTTTGAGCATTTTTGGAGCTTCAAGCTACAAATCGTGAATGCAGCCTTAGTGGAAAAGGGAGGGGGGTGTAACGAGGGGGGGACTATACTTGGTGGAGGGGGGGGCGGGCGTGGGTGACACCAACCCTAGTGACGCCACTGAAGTACACCCTTGGCATTAGAAGCTGATATCGCCCAATAGCAGAAATTTGTAGACATTTTGTATAACTGCCCACCGGTCCCAGACATGGACACAGTGACATTTTTTACCACTTCCTCATGCAAAATTGCTTCAGCTGCTAGATGTTTGTGGTTTACCTTATAGAACTTGCACATTTCAAAATCTCTCTACATTATTTCAATGGTGATCAAATCCAGGCTGTGAGTGGGCCGGTCCATAACCCTAGTGTGCTTCGGATGATCATGTTGCAAGACTTCAAATTCAACTTCAATTTTTGTACAGATGGCTTCACATTCCTATTAAAGTGCCAGGTTTTTATTGCTGTCTGTGCTCCTGTTAGGGAGATTTACTCTCTTTTTTTGTCATGTTTACTGTTATAATTGAAAAGTGAAACTGAACAGAAAATCCCAGATTTTGGGTTGACAAAAAATTAAAGTAGTTACTGCAGATTACTTCCTGTAAGGGTAGAAAAGATTTGGATAGAAGACTTTAGAGCCCATTGGAATCTTCCAGCAACCCCAGATAACATTCTACATGATCTTTGGGGTAGTGTATCTTGCCTTGTAAACATTTTGTAGCCATGTGATTGCATATGGATAGTCCTTATCATTTTTATTTTGTACCCAGTGAAATGTGTAGGGTCAGAGGCTCAATGAATTCTCCCCTGCTGCTGTGATCATACTGTAGATAATATATTTATAAACTATTTTTTTTTAGTAAGCAATAGCAACCATCCACACTTTAAAACACTGAAACCATGAATATTTATGCAGTCTTGTTTATGGAAATGATCAATTCTTTTGTGAAAATTGTGCAATCCAGGTGGTAACCCATTGCAACCATCTAATCCTTCTCCATATGTGGCAATATCACACTGCGCAAATGCCATTAACCCCTTCAACTCAATGCATTCTGCTATGGATAAATTCACCAGATTCTTTTTGATCCCTTAGTAAAAGGATAAAAATGTATCCAATAGCAAACTATTGGTCCTTACAATCTTACCTCAGGTCTGCTTCAACTTACATTTCTCAGTGTGTTGCCATACGTCAATAAAAAGAATGTGCCATATAGTGTAAAAACGTTATAAATATATGATAAAACAAAACTGCACCAGCTACACAATACCACCTAAAGTTACTGACACTTCTATTCTCAGTCCGCTAGGAGTGAGAGCAGTATTTCCGTATTTATGTGTGATGATGTCACTGACCCTACCCAACGGATTTTGTCACTAGGGACTTCCTCAGGAATGGCATATTCATCATCACCATGGCAACATATAATGTGTACCCCTGTCTCTCACCCTCAAAACCTCTCCATCAGGGTGATTGATACAAATGTTTTTCTACTAAAAATTCAGAATTACCTAAAAACGAAAATTAAACATTATATGATCATTTTGTTTAAAACTTGCAACCTACCGCTGTCGTGATGGCTCATCTATGGCTTCTGCGGTTTTCTCCTCTCCCTCCCTATCTCTTTCTCCCTTTTTCTCTTTGCTACCTCTCTCCATCTCATCTTCTCAACTTTTACCACTTGTTTCCTACAGTTTTATGTTAGGAATATAAGAGATCCCCTGGAATATATAACATTTTCCAACCAGCCTGTTACAATCTTGAATTGACTAGAGAACAGATGCCTTTCTATGTTGGCTCATGATGTCACATATGTGTACGTTGTGTATTCATTATGGCTTTGTACCTACCTCTATTAATACAACAAAAAATCATTGAATGAAAAACTTGCATCCTACAATGCAGCACAAAAAAAATCCACTTTGTATATTCTATTCGAAGATGCATGGTGTTTAAAAAATGAAGGGATAAGTTCACCTTTTGGACAAAAATAATTTTGCATGTGAAAAAATGTGCATTTATTATTTTTGTCCAAAGAAGTCTGGAAAGCGTTGCACCAGTGATCAGTAGATCGTTGATGCCATGCAGGTCTCCTGCAGACCTGTCAGAATATTTGCATGCTGTACGGGTTGTACGAGCAAGCAGATATACTGACAGGAAGCTTCAATGATCTACCATGGCTCTCCACGCGCAGTGGTAGTTCATTGAAAACTGCAAGTCCACAGCCGCTAAGGCTGTCGGGACTTGCAGTTCATTAATTCATAGAAGTCCATGGATGAACGATACGGCCGTGTGGGCAGAGCCCCAGACAGCCACGCTGTTTTCACATTTGACAGATAGTACAGGGAAACTTCTCCCCGTACTTTCTATCTGTCGGGAGGGGGGGCGACGGGCACGGCTGCAGCTGATTCATGTTATACCCATATTTAAGGTGTAACACAAAACATGGTCACAGTCTGCAGCCCTCACTCCTAAATTGCTCCCCAGTTACAGAATCCGGGGGTACTTCTCCCTGCAGTCTCCTGTCATTTTTTGATTTTGACGAGAATTTGCTTGGCTCTGCCCGCACAGCCACATCATTTATTCACAGGAATCTATACCTTGATGGACTTTAAGGAGGAAGAGGACGTCTGAAGATCTCCCCTTCCCCCTACTCCCCCTTGCGTGTCTTTGTCCCTTCAATAAAGCTTCGGGCCTGTGTCCCCTTCTTTTTCCCCTCCCCCCCCCCCACACCCGATGCTTATTGTAAAGTGTAACATCCGGTTTTTTGCATGACTCCGTAATGGTAGGAAATGTTCTTTGTTTTAGGATGCTATGGTTTTGGGGTAAGCGGCGTTATGCATGACGTGTTAGTGTGGGGATTCGTCCGCCAAGCACATCACGTCAGGCATCATACCGCTGAGTGAATGTATTTATCGTATGCCTGGAACTATATTGCAATGTGGTGCGCTGCGTCGCAGTATAGAGTGAGATGTACCCCCGATAACGAGTATCATGTTTTTTTTATACTTATGTAATAAAGTATCTTTTTCAATCAAAAAAATGTATTCACAGGAATCTGTGAATGAAAAAACAAGTCCTTTCTGCCCTGCAGCAAAGGACTTGTAGTTCTCAATGGAGCACAAGTGTGGTGATGTTATTGCACTTGTGCTCCATTGATACTTTCTCCAGCCCCATAACCAAAGGTCTGTAATCTGGTACAAACCTGAGGCTGGAGGCATAGTCTGTAGGAGCATCAGCAATCCACTCTTCACAGTTGCAATGCTTTTTAGGCTCCAATGTAAAAAACAATAGGTGGAATTTTCATATATACTGGAAATAGGCCAGTTCCTTGAAACCGGCTGACTATTAGTACATGCATACTTTTTTCTATTCAACAGAAACCGGTCAACAACCGGCTTCTGTTGAAGGATCATGCTGGAAAACCATCATTCGACTAATTTAGCTGCAGCACTAATCTGTGTATTCTGATGGGTGGGAGTCGTGGAGTCCTCATTGTCAGAATAGAGTGGCAACGGAGATCCCTGCATCCACATCACGTTCTTTTTTTTTTTTTTTTTTTTTTTTTACATTCATCCAGTTTGAAGGGAAATAACTGTGTGTGAATACCAAGCTTTAGCCTTTATGCAGGACTTGATAAGAGTGAACTCGGCCTTTGTCTCATACATAACAATGCCAATCTGGTTTACAAACTATTCTCAAAAAAAGACTTGACAATAACACTACATGTAAAATAATTTATTCATTCCCGCAACATCGCTAATATCATATATAAGCAGGTGTTCAAACATAATAAAGGATATAGCTATAACACCAGTATATAAATATGGGTATTTACAATGACATTAAAATACATTACAATTTCATAATATTAAAAATAATTTAAAGTAGTGGCTACTAGCTAACATCTTTATTTTTAAGCAAGAAGACAGAATAGCTTCATACACATTGATTCTCTCTCCTCAGCTACTAATCTTAGTTAGCATTTTGTTAATAGCTTGTTTGACATGAGTCGTAGAACTTCTTCTCCTGGTCTTTCCTTGAATCATCTTGCGACGTCTTATTTCTCGGCATAGTTCATAAAAAGCATCAGTGATGTTTCCTTCACCAGTACATGCAGAGCATTCATAAAAAGCGCAGGACAGCTCTGCGGCCAGTCTCTCTCCTTCTTCGGTACTTACTTGCCGTGAATGTGTCAGGTCTGCTTTATTTCCCACTAGAATAAAAGTAACATTCTTGGGCTTTTTTACTTCATCTAACAAGTTCTTGAAATACATGACATCTTCAAAACTTCCTCTGTCAGTGATGTCATAAACAATAACAAAACCTTCGCCCCAGCGTACATGGCCTTCTCTTTGCAAAGGGTCTTCCTGAGACAAGACAAATGAGAAATAGAAGATCATACACACTATAAATGAAAATTAAATCAATTAACTTATTAAACATTTGTTGAAAAAAAAAGAGAGAGAAAACATTATATCACCAACTTCAAAGTTTACATATGCCTAAATCACAAAATCATGTTTTTATTACCTTACATTATTTGTTTTTTTTAATGTTTAGTTATATATGGATTTTATAGTTTACTAAGTTACAGCACTGATAAGATCAATATTCTGCACACACATTGTTTAAATAGATTGTTAAGATACTTTAACCAATAAAGCCATAGTGAACATGTATTTGGTCCTGTGTTTGGTCTGAAATGTTAATACCTTTTTTAGCAACTAACTGCTTTATTAAAGTGGTTGTAAATCTCAGACATGAAATATGAACAAAGCATATCCTTCTATCGTGTGCCCTTGTCTCAATCCAGAGCACTAAGTGTCATTTATCACTGCTGCCTCATTCCTCTGCTATCAGAATGAGTCACTTTGGACAAATTTTCCTAACATCAAGGGAAAAAGAGTGACAGGGGAGGAACCTCCATCACACAGCCTGTTATTGACAGCCTCAGCACTGTTCCTGTGTGCTGTGTGAAGGGTGTGTGTCCCTTCCCTCCAGTCAGCTCTCAGAACTCTCATCACTGAGATCTGCAGAGTGTAACTTCAGCTTCCTGCTCCTTGCTTTCTGAAAACTCAGACAAACAGCATAAATTCTGGACTTTGAAAGGCTGTAGAGAAGAGAAAGAGTGTGGACAAACAGTAATAACTTATCTCTGTGTATCACCTGGGACCAGTCACTTCATTGGGTATACATTATGTAAGGGTTTACAACCACTTTAAGGTACTCCCTGTGTCTGTCAGCCACCTATTGCTGAGTGGGGAACTTGAGGGTTTTTGTAGCACCTTCAATACTGCTTTGCCCTGAAAGATATTACCGTATTTGCCGGCGTATAAGATGACTTTTTACCCCTTAAAAATCTTCTCAAAAGTCGGGGGTCGTCTTATACGCCGGTATACGGCATACTGACACTTTTTAGGGGGGCGGCGCGTTGCCGCCGCCGCCCCCCCCTTCCCCAATGGAAGGGACACTAAGTACAGGGGTGGGCAGCGGCTGTTTCTTACCTGGTTCCGGTCCCACGACGATCCGGTCCAGGAAGCGCGGCTGCGCCTTCAGTTCAGTCACTGGATGTTTGTGCGGCTGCTCGGCTCCGCCTCCTCACCAGTGATTGGCCGCCAGAACTGTAGCTCAGGAAAGGCACACAGGCGGCCAATCACCGGCGAGGGGGTGGAGCCGAGCGGCCCCCGCGAAAATCGAGTGCAGGACCAGCAGGTAAGTGGTCAGTGTAGAGGTGCTGCTGCAACCACATATGCTGGCTGCAGCAGCACCATACGAGAACAGGGTCAGCAAGTGTCAGTGGGAGGAATAGTGCCCCATCATTGGTGTCACTGATACCAATGATGGAGCACTATTCCTCCCACTGATACCAATGATGGGGCACTATTCCTCCCACTGACACCAACGATGGGGCACTATTCCTCCCACTGACACCAACGATGGGGCACTATTCCTCCCCCCCACTGACACCAATGATGGGGCACTATTCCTCCCCCCCACTGACACCAACGATGGGGCACTATTCCTCCCCCCCACTGACATCAACGATGGGGCACTATTCCCCCCCCCACTGACACCAATGATGGGGCACTATTCCACCCCCCACTGACACCAATGATGGGACACCATTCCTCCCACTGACACCAATGTTGGGACACCATTCCTCCCACTGACACCAATGATGGGGCACTATTCCCCCCACTGATACCAATGATGGGGCACTATTCCCCCCACTGATACTAATGATGGGGCACTATTCCTGCCACTGATACCAATGATGGGGCACTATTCCCCCCACTGATACTAATGATGGGGCACTATTCCTCCCACTGATACCAATGATGGGGCACTATTCCTGCCACTGATACCAATGATGGGGCACTATTCCTGCCACTGATACCAATGATGGGGCACTATTCCTGCCACTGATACCAATGATGGGGCACTATTCCTGCCACTGATACCAATGATGGGGCACTATTCCTGCCACTGGTGTGCATTGGAAGAGGGGTAGTCTTATACGGCGAGTATAGCTCAAACACTAAATTTTAGCAGGAAAAGTAGGGGGGTCGTCTTATACGCCCAGTCGTCTTATACGCCGGCAAATACGGTACTTGGATTACAGTGGAGGCAGCAATGCTGCTTCTGGTAACCTTTTCACCACAGTATGATCCACTGGATAGGGGCACTAATTCCCCTGGTGAGGGACCCAGGCGATGTGCTTAAAGTGCTGTTAAACCCTAACAAGGAACATCTGGTATCTGCACACTTTTGGTCTATTAAAGCAGTCTATCACTTACCATGGTGAGTCGACTTTTCTAGCTCACTCACCACCACATTCTGAGAAGCCTCCCCCCCCCCCTCCTTTTTTTCCTTTATGTGCGATTTCCTTTTTTTGTCTGCCCAGGCAAGAATGTTAAATAGTGTTCTGCTCTCACAACCTCCTGCGAAATCTTCATATCCCAAAATGTTCCAGGAGTAGGAAAAGCAGCAGTCAGTGGATGGAGCATGGTATGTGTCATCATAGGCTGGATGAGACAGTCAGCTCACACTGCTGAAGGTAGACCATAATGGTGGTGCAAGTCCTGGCTGTCACACCTGAGCAGCAGAAGACAGCAGGACAACACTGGATCTGCTGTGCAGGTGAGCATGTGATTCAAGGACAAATCTTCATGACAGGTAAGGAGGGGTAAAAAAAAGGTGGAGGGGAGTGAAGTTTCTCTTTAAATATACTATTAAAAGCATTTTCTTTGGAGTTGTCATGTGTCCTCTGCACAGTTACCGTGTTATCCTAATGAGTCTAAAGTCGACTATAGTCGGTTTGAATCTCGGTCAATTCAGCAGGGACCAGCTGAGATTCAAACCATGTGTGGGCAGGCTGAATGTACCCAAGTTGATTGATACATCAACTTGGGTACAGTTGTGTCCAAAATTATTCAACCCCCACTGAAATTGAGTGTTTTGGCCAGTTTGACATTGCTTTTGATCATTCAGTCATCTTGCTTACATTTACATTAAAGAGGCACTTGTAGGTCAGACAAATATAACATAACAGTTATAATGAAAAATAACCACAAATGTCTTTTCTGTGCTCACAGCATTATCAGTTTTATTCAACCCCCAAGTGACATTCAATCTTAGTACTTAGTACAGCATCCTTTTACAGTTATAACAGCTTTTAAAAACGTGAAGCATAGCTTGACACAAGTGTCTTGCAGCGATCTACGGGTATCTTCGCCCATTCTTCATGGGCAAAGGCCTCCAGTTCAGTCACATTCTTAGGCTTGCGCACTGCAACTGCTTTCTTTAAGTCCCACCAGAGGTTCTCAATCGGATTTAAGTCTGGTGACTGCGATGGCCACTCCAAAATGTTCCAGCCTTTCCTCTGCAACCATGCTCTAGTGGACTTGGAGGTATGCTTGGGATCATTGTCCTGTTGAAAGGTCCAACGTCTCCCAAGCCTCAGGTGTGTGACGGACTGCATCACGTTTCCATCCAATATCTCCTGGTACTGAAGAGAATTCATGGTACCTTGCACACGCTGAAGCTTCCCTGTACCTGCAGAAGCAAAACAGCCCCAAAGCATGATTGACCCTCCACCATGCTTCACAGTAGGCAAGGTGTTCTTTTCATCATAGGCCTTGTTCTTCCTCCTCCAAACATAGCGTTGATCCATGGGCCCAAACAGTTCTAATTTTGTTTCATCATCAGTCCACAGAACACTATCCCACAACTTTTGTGGTTTGTCCACATGGCTTTTGGCATACTGCAGTCGACTCTTCTTATTCTTTGGAGACAGCAAGGGGGTACGCCTGGGAGTTCTGGCACGGAGGCCTTCATTACGCAGTGTGCGTCTTATTGTCTGGGCTGAAACTTCTGTACCCACATCTGACAAATCTTTTCTCAGTTCCTCAGCAGTCACACGGGGACTTCTCTCCACTCTACGCTTCAGGTAGCGCACAGCAGTCGAAGTCAGCATCTTCTTTCTGCCACGACCAGGTAGCGTTTCAACAGTGCCCTTTGCCTTGAATTTGCGAATGATGCTTCCTAAGGTGTCTCTTGGTATGTTTAACATCTTTGCAATCTTCTTATAGCCATTGCCCTTCCTGTGAAGAGAAATCACCTCTTCTCTTGTCTTCCTGGACCATTCTCTTGCCTTCACCATGTTTGTAACCACACCAGTAAATGTCTAGAAGGAGCTGAGTATCACAGTCATTTTAAAGCTGCCTAATTGGTGCTTATTATGCTTGATTGCTGCTCGGTGACATCCACAGGTGTTTTCAATACCTGATGGAAAAGCACCTGTATGAACCTCTGTTCTTCAGAGTGGTAGTCTTTAAGGGGTTGAATAATTGTGGCAATGAAGAAACCACATAAGAACCATTTACTACTGTATTACATAAACAATTGATGTCATTTTAGTTGCATTTGGGTAGTTACAACGTCCTTGTAGGATTTGATTCTGAATACAATTCCAAATGTACACTATAGTCCCTAAACCCCTTTACAGCATTGGGGGTTGAATAATTTTGGACACAACTGTACAACCAGCCTGTCGGATTTTACATGTGATTATTGCTATCGGCTATTATAACCACTAGCAGTAATCATTGTGTTCTCCCAGCAGGGACGGCTCCATAATGGCTCCGTGGGAGGGATTACCCCATCAACACTGGCTGTGTTAATGGGAGAATCAAGCAATTTTGGTTGCAGGAAAGAAAATCGATCCATCTATGGTTGGCTTAAGTTGCTCTCCCGATTTATATCTTTGGACTACAAGTCAGTTTATTGCCTATGCTTTAGAGATAAAGGCAGTGGGGTGTATTGAGTAGTTTAGTAAAAGACAACGGGCCATGGATGACACCATTCACTCCACAAAATAGTTGTGTATTGTCAGCCCAAA